GACTGTCCTACACCTATTTTATCTCGCACCGTCTATCACCTTTTGTAGTCTTTAACTTTTATAATATAATTTTTTATACAAAATAACTTGCAAAAAAGATTTAAGGAAAATATAATTACGATGTATGAATCTATTGATACATGAAAAATGCTATTTTAACCAATATCGATTTTTGTTTTCAGTTATATTACAAAGTATATTGAAACTTATTTCTCAATTAAAAAAAAAGTATATAGAAACTGATTAAACCATAGTTTGCACAACATTCAAAAGTTTTGGATAACGGTTCTTTTGTTTGTTTAAAAAGGTTGTTTGGTTAACAATTCACCCACAACAATTTCAAAGAAAATTTCACCCAAAGGTATTACAAAGTTAAAAAGATGCCGACACACGGAAAGTAATCAATAATATCTTCTTTTCTTTTTTTAAACCGTAATCAATAATGTCAAAGAAAGAAGTAGATGCAAAACCAATATAATCATAAACATAACTTTTCTCTTATTTACTGGAAAAAAAAACAAAGTAACATAATGTGGAATGTGATCTGACCCTGAAAGCCAAGAGTTTTAAATATGTGAGAAAGAAACATGAGAATCTAATTGAAGATGTGAAAATAAAAAGGAACAAAAGCGGCTCTCATCTTACTTCTGCGTGGCCCACGTGTCTCCGTTGCATCATCGTGCGTATCTATATTCAGATACGATCTCAAAGTTGATCAAAAGTCAAATAACTTAATTTATGGAATAATTACAATGATTTTCTTACATCTAGTAACACTCTGTCTTTAATTATTAGTATTACTATCGAGAAAAATACTTACATATACTCCATTCGTTTTAAAATATAAAATGTTTTGGATGTTTTTTGTTTTAAAATATAAAATATTTTGACAATCCTAAGTATTTTTTACTTTACTGAATATTATGCAACTAATAGTATTCTACAGTCTTATTTATAATTGGTGAAATTATTTTTATTTTATATATTAAATAATTCTTTAGAAGAAAAGTTATTTTTTAATTTTTTGCGCTTTTAACCAAAACATCTTATATTTTAAAACGGAGAGACTATCACTCTTTAAAGCTCTAAGGAGAAAAATGCCAAAGGCAAAACATAATCTAGCTTGCATTCAAAATCGAGTTCTGAGTAACAATTTTAACCAGTAATTCATTAACCAAAGTATAGATTAATCATAAACCCTATAGCTTGCATGGTTTCTTATCATTTAAACCGGATAATTTCTTAACCAAAAAACTTATTTTGTATATTAATTTTCAGCATGGTCAATCATTTGAATGCAAATCTCATTTTATAGTTATTTAATTTTAATATGAATTTTATGTTATATATATTTTATGTTATAATCGTATTATGATTTTTACAACTGCATTACACTTTTAATTAATTATAATAAATTACTTTATTTACAACAAAACAAAATCAACTCTAACACCAATAATTTCGAGTCAAAAATATATCACAGTTTTGAAATCTAGATTTTGAAAGAATGTTCAGCGCTACGATCGCTCTCTTGTGCCTCTTTGTAAGGATTTGCTTCTTAAGTAATGAAATTTGGTTTGAANAAAAAAAAAAAAGGCTTTGGAAAAAAGCATTTAAAGACAAAAAAAAGCTAAGTAATGTGAATACTATCAGGTCAATTTAAAAGTTGGGGTTGCTAAGTGAAAAAGGAGAAACGACCAAAATAAAGTCTCAGATGTTAACATGTTTCCCATAAATTACGTGCCAAATGACGAATCCTTGCTTCACGAGTATGTTTGCGTGATTGATGTTAAGATTCACACTTACACACATACATACACTTTTTAATAAATAATCATAATTATAATTATGCATATAGACGGCCAGAGATATGCAAATCTTACTAACTCGATCAAAAGCTAATTGGGTGGTTTCAGATGTGATTAAGGCTTTTCTTTGTACAAAGTACAAACACTAGAAAGTAATAATTGTGTAAAACCTGATACATTAAAGTCTTTGTTAGGGGCTGGAGAAATGTCCCATCTTGTCTCCCTTTTAATTCTATTTTCCCACGCGAATCTACATAAGTTGCTTCCATGTATCTTCTTTTCATCTCTTCTCACACCAAGAAATGTAATGGATTATATTAGTGGACGAGGAAAACGTGGTCGTGGAAGTTGTTAAGGCCGCGGATCACAATACTAGGGACATGAAGTGAGTTATTGTTAGTCTAGCTCATCATCCCTTAATCTTTTTAATTCTTTGTACCTTTAGAACCAAGCGATTTGTATACTGAACATTTTCTTTTTCAAAC